CGGAAGTACTTTATATATTCGAAATCCATGATTAAAATATAGTTTATATGCACGTTCATTCGATGTGTTAACTTCAAGACTCATTCTCACAGCGCAAGTTAGACGGGCATGTTTTATCATATGACATAAAATTATACCACCTAAGCCACGTCCCCATTGACTAGGATGAAGAGTTAAATTTGTTATATGTGATTCACAGGGGTGGCGCGACCGGGGGGATGTCGAGGGTGTAACACCCCTCCAATCTTCAAAAATTTCTATTTTTTGCTGAAGAAAAGCGACGAATCTTCTTAGGTTTTTCACCAAAGATAATGCTACACACCTCAAAAATTCAAAAAATTTCGTTACACCCCTCCAATGTTGGCTGCCTCGCGCTACCCCCAGTGATTCATTATCTGGTAGAGATTGTAAACCATATCCAACTATTGGTTGTGCACTGTTGGTATTTTCAAGTATCCAACAACTCGATAATGAACCATTCAAATACTGATCAAAATCACTCAAATCCCATGCTGCATCACCCCAGACCATTTTTTCAATTTCAACGACTATTGGAAGATCAATTTCATTCATTGGACGTATTTCATATTGATTTGGTTTGTCAGAAGTTATTGCCAGTGCTTCATCGTCATCATTTATATGTGATTTATTGGACATGTTACTAGATTATGAAATTACTACTGAAACTTGCTGTCACGTCTCGTAGTGAATGTAGACTAAAATACATATGAAGATATCAAGTTTATTATATATATATATAGAAATATGTAAATACATACCTTCAAGAAATGGTGTAGAGTGAACCGAGAGAAGAGACGACTGGAAGGATAACATCACACTGATAGAAGCGATCATATATATCTGATGACGCTGGAGTATGTCATTAGAAAAGAAAGGAAAAAAATACATGTATATGTTGTAGGCAAAATTAAAATTCAGTTAAATTTGAAATTTTAATTTGACTAGGCAGAATTGAAATTTCAATTTTGTCTAATATATTTTCAGTCAAAAGCGAAATTTTCATTTTGACTAGGCAAAATTCAAATATATCTTTTATAGCTGAAAGAGCGTGAAGAAAGACAAATAATCTAAGTGTGAATAATTATTTTTATTTTACAGTACTTTTCAACAAACATCATTTAGTTCAAAATTTTATTTAATCCATGTTTAAACATCTACCTCTTTTTGAATGACATTTGTTAGAGCAGGAAACATTTTCGCATTATTAGTAACTTGAACGATCGTCGAATTCAACCCCATTAGTTTTTTACGATGTGTGATTATCTATATATTAATTTATCTTCGCAACAACCCCGTACTGGAATTTTCTTTCTCTTTATTTTGTCTTACTAGATAAGTCATTCATCGTACACAACAGCTGCTCTTGATTCTGACCTAATTTTCTTAATTGTGAGAATAACTATAATTAACTGAAAAAGAATAGAAAGAGAAATCGATCAACACGCAAACATTGTACTTATTTTTTTTGATATTATCATTAAAAAAAACATGACTCACTTAAGATTTTTCTTTCTTTGTATTCTCATAGAAAGTGAGCAAACCATGGCAACCAAAAACATCTTTTCGACTTTATACAGAAAATAATCCTCAATCAAATTGCAACTCCTTATTTTATCTTAGTCAATCTATTTTCTTTTCACTTGTAATAGAGCAACATTTATAGTGTATGAAAGAAGCAGAGATAATATTTCAATTTTTTAAGTTTCTTTTCAATATGCTTTGCATTATATTGCAAAACGTATACTGTATGTGTAAAAGAATATGAAGATTTGTTTTCATTTCTTTTGAAGCAATTGATGATGATGATGAAACAAACATAGATATGTCTCTCTCTTATCAGTAGAACCCTGTTATCCGAAACCGGAATTGGAACGGTGAAATAAAAGATGATGGAACCGAAACCGGAACCGGTGGAACCGAAAAAATATTTTTAATGGTAGCTAAAACACTATTCAGATACAACATAATTTTGTTTTCTTTTGGAACATATTGCTCTTTTAATGAAATAATAAACGTCAACGATCTTAAGAATGAAATGGAGAAATTTTTGAAAAAAAATTCATGTTTTAATATTTTGTATATTACTGTAAAATCCCCGGTTCTCAAAACAGATTTTAGGAACCGCAGGGCTCTACTTACCAGCCAAATCCGACTTGGTGTCAACAAAATCCGGACAGAAGTCGTTCGTCGTAGTATTGACTCTTGGACTAAGAGAATTTATCGTTTGTTACAAACTAGAGCTCAATATATTTCTAAATAAAATTATTAAAATTACATAATAAACTCTGGGTTTTGTCTTTATTCTTGAACCTGAAAACGATGCGAATCAGTAGAATTACGAGAAACCGATAGAAATGGCTTGGAGTTTATCGGTCTGAAGTAACTCAGTGGATGTATATGGAAATGCAAGGGATCGAAGGATATCTGTGAAGATTGGCTAGAATGGGTGGTATTGGAGAGGACCAATAGAAGTGGATCGAAATCCAATAGATCCAACGAAATATATGAAGATCGACTGGAAGTGGTGGTATTCAGAAAAACTAGCAAGAAATGGATGAGAAGCCAGCGGATTCAAGGAATATCGATGGGATCGAGGGAAAATGCTAGGGATTCGAACAATATCCGGGGGATTGACGGAATATCCAATATGTCTCAAACTTCTGATTCGAATGCAGATATTGGAAGAAATCATCAAACATCTTCCAAAAATCTTGTGAGTGGCTGTGGGTGTAAATATCTGCTCTTTCTATTCATACTCATACTCACATCCACACCCGTACCCAAATTTAATATTAAAAATAAAGTTAATTTTTTAGAAACCCCTTATTTCAATATA